AAAAAAAAAAAAAAAAAAAAAAAAGAAACAAAAAAAAAAACGTAAAAACAGGAAACCAAAATTAAAGTCAAATAAAGTGCAACTAATTTTGTACACTCCAACTAAGACACCAAATATTTGTCGCGAAACTGTCAACAGTATCAAATGAAGATCCAAAACGTAAGTAAGAAAACTGTCAAATTTGATCCATAAACAAACAACAACCCATTTTTCCCTTCTCTCCCTCCTGCCACTCCAAAAAAAAAATATGACAGATAAAATAGCAGATATTTATTAATTTTAAATCTCTACAAACTGTTTAACTTCATTCCAAAAAATTTTCTTGTTTTTTCTTTTTCTTTTTTGTATTTTTTTAAATTACCAATAAGAGGAAAAAACTGGATAAAGAATAAAGCAAAAAACGCAAAAAAATCTGAAAAGAAGCCATGGATTGGCTGATGACACAGCGATGATAGTGTTATTCGTTCAACTATCCAGCGGTGTAAAATTTATCGAAACTTATTTCGTTGATCGTTTTAAAAACAGCGCGCCGGCTGTGTGTATCCTATCCGTCAATCAGCATCAGCCAATGTTCACCATTCCATTACGTAAACCAATGGCATTGACCAACTCAAAAATAAAAAAGAGAATATTTGGCTGTTATCTACTGAAAACTTTTCAATCGATAATTTTTTTCTTGTTTGGCGACATGCCCAATTTATTTTCCTTACACTCAATTTTTATTCCTGTTTTATATTATCTGATGGCCAATTTTTAGTTTTCTTCTCTGCTTGTTACACATCGATTTTGCTTACACTGACGTCTTCTGCAACCTGAGTAAAACGTCTTTGCTGTTAAATAGTAGTGAGTTATTCAGTTTCTTAGTCTATTTTAAGCTGTCTGAAAATAAAATTGTACGCACTGTTGCTTAATTGTCAGTAGTGCATGTTACGATAGTGATACTGATGATGTATGATGTGTATGTTGCTTTTTTTTTTCAAACTGTATTATTGCAGTCAGTTTCATTTGTTTGGTTAATCGTTGAAATGTTTCTTGTTCGGTTTGATGTATCGTTGAAGTTTAGCTCAAAAGGAGTTGGTGAGTTTTTCGGGGCAAAAGGAACGCATTTGTTTGGTGTCGTCGGGCTTTAGTCTCGTTTTCTTTTGCCAATAAGCACAATGCTATGTAAAGTTATTTAGTTAATTCTAAAATGTTTTAAGGCTTAAAAGTTGAAAGAGCAGTAATAGGATGGAAGACGAAAAAACGCATGAAAAGTAAGATTTTTTTTTGCTCAATTTTTCAGCTATAAGTATTTGAAAATCTTCAGGTGAGGTTAGAGTTTTTTACAAGAAATGGAGATTAAGTACCATTGCTTTGAGAAGAGGAAGGAAGTATCTTTTCTGCAAGTTTTGTA